ATGGCCAATCGCGAGGTCAATTCCAGCATCCTCTTCTCTCTGGCACGTTTCCTGGATGAAGCAATCTGAATCAGGTGACCCCTAATGGTGGCTTTGTGAGCCTCCCACAGAGAGATGGCCGAGGATACAGTACCCACATTGCCCGTAAAATAGGACTGAATGTGCGAAAGAACCTGGGAGCAAGAAGCCTAGGTGGTGAGCAGGGATTCATTGAGTCTCCACAGAAAAAAGGGCCGAGCCATACCAGAAAAGAGAGTGAAAAAACAACGGGTCATGATCAGACCAGGGTAACATCAAGATGACAATCTTTTGAATTAAAGATAGATGTTGGAAGGAAATGAAGAAGCGATCTATTCTACAAAAGCTCAGGTGTGGAGCCGAATAAAAAGTGTATTCCCGCGACGTAGCATGCATTTCCCGCCAGACATCTTCCAAACCATAAGCTTGCAGCGTATCACGCAATTTAGATTCCTGAGAAAGGTCATGGCTAGGGGTCCCTCCCTTTTGGGTCGATCGACAGAGGAATTAACAGCAACATTCGAATCACTCAGCAATAAGGAAACCACACTGATGGTGTGAAATCACCTTCAACAAGTGAGAAAAAAAAAAAATTTGTGTTGAAATCTATTTGGTGCGTAATACCCACCAGGGTTAGCGGAGGATTGAGAAAACCTTGTCTCCTGCAGACAGACTACGCCCCCATCTTGGGACTTAAGATGATGGAACACTTTAGAACGCTTGGGTCGGAGAAATAAAACCATGGATTTTTGGAGAAAAAAAAAAAAAAAAAATCTTTAAAGGTTTTAAAGCCATACTGAGTCAAGGGAAACCTCAAAACTTTTGAGAGTTGCTGTTCGGGAAGGATGGCAAAAAGAGCAATGGGTGGGACTGCTTCCACCATTTCTGATAGGTGAACCCCAAAAGGCCTATTATGCCCTGGACCAGAGGCGGTCCAGGACTATTAGAAGCTGAAGGCTGAGATCCTTGCACACCTGAGTGTCACCATTGCGGTCCGAGCTCAGTGGGTGCATCAGTGGTGGCACAGTACTGACAAGCCACCCCACTCCCAGTTTGACTTAATACATCTCACCAGGAAGTGGCTCCAGCCAGAGACGTTGTCAGCCGCTCAGGTTGTGGGGTCAAGGGCTCAGGGAAAAAATTACAGGACTGTTGCTTCTGATAATGAGACTGTGGGCTCAGGACCCGGAGACTGGCCAAATAGGTCAGGAAGGTCCCTGAGGCAGTTTAGAGGTCTGGGTGCAGAACCTATGAAGTGTAATCGTTGGCATTTATTAGGTTGTATTGCTGCGAGCTGTTCCCTAAATGATGAACCAATGCAATGTGAAAATGCTTATTTAGGAAAAATGCATGTCTCTTTGCACAGGAGATATGTACTGCAGCATGTCAGGAATGCATGGAAAAGCAAATGTGTGTGATTTCCATTGAAGAAAAGCCAGTAACTGCTCTGCTAGACTCTGGAAGTGTTGTGACCTTAGTCAAGGGTGATTTTTTAGACCCTACAAAAAGGTTACACCCTAGCACTATTGGGGTTATTTGTATCCATGGTGATACACATGACTACCAGACTGCTATGGCTGAGATTGTTACTCCCTGTGACACAGTGGGAGTGGTACCCTCACTACTTCATAAAGCCATAGTGGGGGGAGATTTTCCCCATTTCTGGAGGTTGTGGGAAAAGGAGGACCAAGCTCCACCTGCTGGGGAAACATCTGAACTCACTCCTGACCCTTTTGACTGCAAAGTTGAAGGGGAAACTGTTGGTGTGTCAAAAAAAAAAAAAAAAAAAAAAAAAAAAAAAAAAAAAAAAAGAGTAGATCCTTTCCCTTTCTCTGTAATGGCCAGGGAGCAGGAAGAGCTGGATTCCAACCCAGAGGTTGAGGATACTGGACAAGAGAATCTCTGGCTCTAATGAGTGCACAGAATGTGGTGTCTGACCTAGAGGTCAGAAAAGAGGATTTTTGTACGGAACAACTGAAAGACTACACACTTAATAGAGCCCAAGAAAACGTTAAAATGATTGATGAGGAACTGGTTGAAACTGATGTAGGGGTGTCTTTTCTACATGGCTCTTAAAAATAGCCTGCTGTATCAAGTGGTAAAGCAAGGGGAGGAGGTGGTGGAGCAGCTAGTGGTCCCCAAACCCTATTGCCGGATGGTACTAGATTTAGCCCATGGTCATAAATAGGTGGACACCTGGGTATAGAAAAAAACTAAGGCGAGATTAACAGAGAGATTCTTTTGGCCTGGTTTACATGCAGATGTCAAAAGAATATTGTGAGTCATGCCCAGAGTGTCAGTATTCTGCACCTTTGCCCCATTTGCGTAGTCCACTGGAACTTTTACCAATAATTGAAGTGCCTTTTGAAAGAGTGGGCATGAATCTAGTGGGACTAGTTGTAAAGTCTGCCCGGGGCCATCAGCACATATTGGTTATACTGGACTATGCCACACAGTATCCTGAAACCATTCCCTTGCGTAATACCTCTGCTAAGACTATTGCCAGAGAGCTTGTCCAGTTATTTACAGTAGGCATGTGGGTATTCCAAAAGAGATTAATGGATCATGGCACGCCCTTTATGTCCAGAGTCACAAAAGAATTGTATAATTTTTCAAAATCTCCCATCTCCGTACCTTGATCTACCACCCCCAACCGATGGCCTTGTGGAGAGATTTAACAAGATGCTCAAGAATACGTTAAAAAAAAATTGGTGGACAAAGATGAGAGAAATTGGGATTTTTTGTGATCGTACCTCATGTTTGCTATACGATAGGTACCTAAAGCATGTACATGGTGCTCGGCTTTTGACCTAATGTATGGTAGACATCCCAGGGTGTTGCTAGATGTCGCAAAAGAATCGTGTGAGGGAGAGACCACGCCCTATTGAATCGTCATTGAGCATATCTCAAAGATGCAGGATAGAATCTCAGCAGTCATGCCGCTTATACGGGAACATATGGAGCAAGCCCAGGAGGCCCAGAGAAGGGTTTATAACCGGGGTGCCAGGATCCATATCTTCAACCCTGGGGATAAGAGTGCTGGTGCTAGTTCCCACAGTTGAGAGTAAATTCCTCGCAAAGTGGCAAGGCCCCTTTGAAATTATGGAGAAAGCAGGTGAAGTAAAATATAAAGTTTACCAGCCGGGGAAAAGGAAACCTGAGCAAATATATCATGTTAATCTCTTAAAACCTTGGAAGGACAGAGACTTTATTGGCAGTACCAAGTCAACAAAAGGATATGGTCCCCATGACACCTCAGGTACCAATAACTAAAACCTTGTCAGTGGCCCAACAGAATGCAGTTAAGGCGTTTGTGACAAAGAATGGAGACTCTCTCACACAGACTGATCACAGTAATACAGCATGACAGTTACACAGCCGGGTGTCCGTATAAATGTAAAGCCCTACAGAATACTTGAGGCCAGGCGGGAAGCAGTGGCAAACAAAATAAAGAATATTTTAGAGTTGGGAGTGATTGAGGAATCTCACAGTGATAAGTCCCATAGTCTTGGTACCAAAGCCAGATGGGACCATTAGATTCTGTAATAATTTCAGAAAATTGAACAGTGTGTCCAAGTTCAACGCTTACCCGATGCCTCGGGTGGATGAGTTCATTGACAGGTTGGGAACAGCCCGATACATAAATACCTTAGGTCTGAAAAAAGGCTATTGGTAGATATCCCTAACGGGATCTGCAAAAGAAAAGACAGCATTCTCTACCCCCGAAGAGTCCTTCCAATATCAGCGGATGCAGTTTGATTTGCATGGTGCTCCTACCTCATTCCAGAGAATGATGGACAGAACGTTAAGACCACATGGCCAATACGCAGCTGCCTAGTTGGATGATGTAGTCATTCACAGCCCAGATTGGGAGTCTCATTTGCCCTGGGTGCAATCAGTAGTAAATCTGCTTAGGAAAGCAGGTCTTACCGCCAACCCCAAAAAGTGTGCCATAGGCTTGGAGGAGGGCAAATACCTTGGCTACATTATTGGTCAAAGACCGATTATGCTGATTAGATCAATTTTGTCACCATTGCAGCCCCACTGACAGATCTGATGAAAGGTAGGGGGTCGGTTACGAGTGAGTGGAATCCTGAGGGGGGAAAACAGCATTTCATATGTTGAAACAAGCTCTCTGTGCACACAATCTGTACTCGTGACCCCAGATTTCAAAAAAGACTGTGGTACGGACAGATGCCTCCGATGTGGGACTCTGCAGTCCTGTCCCAAAGCAGAGATGGGGAGGAGCACCCTGTGGCATTCCTGAGCAGAAAGCTTAATAAACATGAAAAAAACTACGCAATTGTTGAGAAGGAATGTTTGGCTATCAAATGGGCCTTGGAGGCCCTGAGATATTATCTATTGGAGAGACAATTCAAATTGGTTACGGATCATGCCCCTCTCAAGTGGATGTGTGATAACAAGGAGAAAATTAGTTGAGAGACAAGGTGGTTTCTTGCGCTAGAAGGCGAGATGATTCATGGATGCTATGCGTCACCTCGTATGCATTCATATCTAGGAGATTAAGGTGGACTCTAGTCCAGGTTTTTCAGGCTACTTTGGCAGGGTTGGTTCTGGACTGAATTTTGCAGTCCACTGAACCACCAGTAGGTGGTATAATTAAAGCAGGACTGGGGGCTCTTGGCCTGGGACTCTGGAAGACATAGCTGAGGGTAAAAAAAATCTCTCTCTCTCCCTCTAGCAGATTTGGGGACGCTCTGATCCAGTTGTCCAGCCATTACAATTTGACCCTTGACATATTTGATCAAATCCTTATACTTGCTCATATTTTCTCATTTCAACACATCAATTTCAGGAACATATTCACTTGCTGCCTAATACATCCCATCCACTTTCAGATACTATTGTAATGAGATAATGTTAATCGGTCAGTGATCACAATTTTATGGCTGATCGGTATATGTAAATTTTTCTTCCATTTCTCAACCACACTATTCATGTGAAGACTAAAGCAGCAATTATTAGTGTACAACATTTTTAGTCTTACCAACAACTCCAGTTGTTCCATCTCCAATTTCATCATCTTGAGATTTCGACAGCTCAACCATGAGTTTGGCTATTTGATGATCAACATCCATCATACTAAGAATTGTTGCCCCATCATTGGTTACTGTAACTTGGCCATCCTTATCCACCATCATTTTGTCAAGTCCTACAATTAAGAGTAAAGAGTAAAGTTACCACTTTTTTTCTCCTCGTTTTGCTAAAAAGAGCTTACTTTACTTTGAAAAGCACGGGTAAGAAATTAGACCATCAGATTTATATTTCCTATATCACCACGGTGAAAACGCTTAGACACCCCCCCCAGGACAGCAGATACATAGACACATGCCTCTGTTTACACTATGATAGCTGTGATTGGACACAACCATCACATGTTCGGGAGGGCCAATCAGATAGCAGATCTCCTCCTCTGCGACGGGCTGTGTCCACGTGCTAAGCACGTGCACCAGGCGAACGTGCAAGAATGTCCTCTTGGAAAGGCGCTTTCGCAGAACTGGCATCCAATAAAAACCTGTTATTTTCTTTATAAAAAAAAGGAAATTACTTTTCCAGCAGAGAACATTAGTTATTTTCCTTTCTGGCTCTTTCCATTCCCTCAAGATCAGGCCTTTAAAAAGACTGATGGAATGGAAGGACTCTGCCCTGTTCCTTTAGACCGCATTCTATCCTGTAAGGAGCGTACTGACAGAGGATCCAGAATTTGTTTGGTTGCAGATATAGCCTGCAAAGGTTCCTCCATATACTCTAGTGGGAGATGATGCATGTTGGATTGACTACTTTTTTTTACTAACTTTCAGAGAATTTTCACCTGCTTCCACTTAACTACATCCAGGGGAAGAGTCAACGTCTACCTCCTCCACATCTTATGCAGGAGAGAATATTTGAGATGGTTGCTTAACCAGGGATCCTACTATGGTTATCCCCCCCATTTTTGAGGCTGGGGTAAGGTAATCATCCAAAGACTTAAAACTCTGAAATGTAGAAATAATTTCTGACATCTTAGGGGTCATGGAACCTACCATAGAAGAGGTTTCTAAAGACAGTTTTTTGGTGCAGGAACCACAGAATGGTTTAGGATTGGAAAAAAGGATACTGCCACTGCAATTGCCACAACTGTTTTTTCTCCATTTTTACAGGTGTGGGAAAACCCTTGTAGGATACCAACATTTTTGTGGTGGTGCACAGTTCCTCTTATCTTCAACCAGAAACAGTTGAGTTCCATCCAGGCAATTAAGGTAACCTAGGCTGCATGATTAAATGGTATGCTGGGCTTGACCACTCATTTTAAAGCTACAGCATCTGAAGATCCTAGACCCACACGTGATGCCTAAATCCTGCCTCTTCCTGTGGCCCAGGGCGGACTAACGTCACACAAAGAATTGACGATGAGGTGGATCCAATCCCAGACTGTAGAACGAAACCAAAACAAAACCACCACATAGGATTTTTGTTACCCACCATAAAATCACTTTCTCTGAGTCTATTGATTGACACAGTGTCATCTTCTTTATCCATTACCAAGCAGGGTTTTATAGGACACTAGGCAGGAAAAAAAAGAAAGCCCCCTCTCTGCTATAGTCCTCCAGTCAGTCACAAGCAGTGTCAAAGAAGAAATTTTCCTAGGGGGGGTGGGTGCTGTGTCCGTCAATGAACTCAGAGAAAGGGATTTTACGATGAGTAGCAAAAAAGCCAGTTTTCTTTTCTGTTCATTAACGGACGCAGCATTGGCAAAGTGGCAGAAAAGGCTGCCAAGCCCTTCTTCAAACCATTCATGAGCAGAGAATTGGACCTCGGGAAAGCAGCAGTCACAGAAATGTACGCACGAATCGCATCCAGGAAATGCAGGGCCACCTCCTTAGGGCATTCCGGCCAAGGAAATAGGTAAGGTAGGACAAGTGAAAATCAAATGCCACCTTTGGCAGAAAAGGGGAAGGTCAATGTACCACCTTATCCTTGTGCAAAACCATATAAAAGGCGGCTTACAGGACAAAGCCGCCAACTCCAACACCCAACAAGCAGTAGCGATAGCGACAAGGTAACCTTTTGCGAAAGTGTAAGGGTATATCTTAAATGCTCCAAGTTCAAATGCCAAGGTGGCAACAGGAAGCGAATAGGTGGGACCATGTGACGAACCCCCAGCCTGAAAGTGCGAACAAATAAAGCGTAGCTAAGGGATGCTGAAAGAAAGTAGCTAGAGCAGACACTTGACCCTTGATCATGCTCAAATGCAAGCTTCTGATCCACACCATGTTGGAGGAAGACCAACAACCGAGCCACCGAGAAGGAGCAAGGATGAAACCCCAAGGCTTCTCATCAAAAGATACAGGCTCTCCAGGTGAGAAAAATCTTTGGGGAGGTAGACTTCAAGGCCTTTAAAGCAATACTAAAGGTTCATTTTTTGAGCGGAGTTGGGCCAGGAAAATTTTTAAAAAAAAATCATGTTACACTGGTTTCTCTGGTCCCTTCCCGGTGCACCTGGCTCCTCCTTTTTGTTGGCTAACCCCGTAGCAAGCAGCTTGCAATTGGGGCACCCAAGCAGGCGTGTTTCCAAACTGATGCTCTGTGTGTCCATTCACGGCTTGGCCCTGCACCCTCTATCCATTGACTGACTGCCTGTGATTGACAGCAGCAGTAGCCAATGGCTCCCACTTGCTGTCTCAACCAAATGAGGCAGCAGAGACCTGGAACAGCAGAGGCAGTAGTGCACAGTGCTGAATCGCGATGGGGCTCAAGTATTAGGGGAGGCTGGGGGCACTGCTGCACACAGATGGGGTTTTACCTTCATGCATAGAATGCATGAAGGCAAAAACCTTGAGCCTCTACAACGACTTTAAACATAGTTGGAATCATGGAGCCAGACACCCCCCTTTCCTTCAGAACCAGGCTCTCAACCATGCCATAAAAGCCAGCGACGGTAAAGCAGGGGGGAAGACTGGCCCTTGACAGAGTCCTCTTGAAGAGGCAGCCGTTGGGAGTGTCCGCCACCGAGCCACACCACGTCGGCGTATGACAAAAGACAAGGCCAGTCAGGAGCAACCAGGATGCCTTCATCCTCCATAGTATACGAGGAATCAGTTGGAGGGGTGGGGAAGGCATAGATGCAATTGCACAGAGTCCACGACGCGACTAGTGCATCATCAGTCGCGGCCGTCAGGGAATCCATTGATCTTGCCATGAACCGTGGAACCTTCTGATTGAGGTGGGTTTCCAGGAGATCCATGTCCGCCGTCCCCCAGCAAAAGGTAGAGCTGATAGAACACCTCCGGATGAAGGGAACCACTTGCCATGATCCAGCTTCTGATGGCTGAGATAATCCGCTTGGCCAGTTTGACGCCTGGAATGTTGTCAGACTGAATCTTGTTCACAGACCTGTAAAGCGATCCATCCAAGATGTCAGTGACAACCTGATTGCCCAAAGCTCCAAGACAATCAGCTTCCTCCAGAGTCCAGCGACCCTGAGCAGAGTCCGATCCCAAGACTGCTCCCTTCGTGACCACAGTCCAGCGAATAGGGAGGAAGGACTTCTGTTCTGTAGAGCCAGAGACCTGTGTCACCAAAGAAAGGTGACCCTTGTCGACCACTCCAGGTGAATCTGTAGGTCCAAGGAGGTGGAAGCCCTGTTTTATTTGGATAGGATTTCCACTCTAGTGTTCTCGTATGAAACTGGGCATACGGAACAGCTTCGAAGGTTATTGACCTTCAGGCCTAAAATCTGCATGCAAAAACATAGGAAGGGCAATCGAGCATCAGTCCCAAATACTCTAGGAGCAACATATGGGGTCAACACTGACTTCCTGAGGTTCAGGATCCATCCGAAGTCCCGTAGTGAACACATGGTGATCTCCACAATGTCTAGTAGGGACGAGCGAGTTTCTAAACTCAGGTGCAAATTGTCCAGGTAGAAGATCACAGTGATCCCCCGTTGTCTCAGTAAGGCCAAGACAAACACCGGGGCCAAGACATAGTAAACACCAGGGGTGCTGAAGCCAGAGCAAAGAGAAGTGCCTCAAATTGATCGTGTGCATGTCCCCGATGGCAAAGCATATGAAGTGCTGATGCCCCTTGCAAATAGGGACGTGCAGGTAAGAATCCTTGATGTCTAAAGCAAACAAGGAAATACCCTTGGTGGAGGGAGGCTGCCACTGAGCAAATTGATTCCATCTTGAACTTGTGAACCCGCACAGAAGTAAAAACCTCAAAACTGCTCTGAGTCAGGCACCAGGATGATCACTCATTGGCGAACCAGGTCCTGTACAGCTCTGTTGGCAAAGATTTGGAGGGGGGGGGGGGGGAATGAAACTATCTTGTAACATGACAGAAACCTGCAAAGTCGCCTCCTACTCTGGAAGTGGGTGGGGGCAAACCTTCATGCCGAGGAAGACTTCCCATATGGAAGAAAAATATTCTTCCCAAATATAATTTTTCATATTTATATAGATTATATATTTGTATTTTTAAAGACCTACAGTATATTTGAAATTCATTTTTCAAAATTTCATATATTTTGTAATGCACTTCAACTTACAATATAAACACCAAGTTGAAATGCTTTTTTTATTACATAATATATGAAATATTTTGAAACATTTCAAATATACTGTAGGTCTTTAAAAATGCAAATATATAATCTATATAAATATGAAAAAAATATATTAAAAAATTTTCATATATTTATATAGATTATATATTTGTATTTTTAAAAGATATACAGTATATTTTAAATTTTTCAAAATATTTCAAATATTTAAAAAAAAAAAAAAAAAAAAAAAAAAAAAAACACACCACACAACAACACACAGTGAAGGAAATAAGTACTTGATCCCCTGCTGATTTTGAATGTTTGCCCACTCAAAAATAAAATCAGTCTAAAAATCGAATGGTAGGTGTATTGTAACAGACAGAATAGCAAATAAAATTCAAAAGAAATGCATGTCAAATTATGCACGGATTTGCATGTTCATGAGGGAAATAAATATTTGATCGCCTTCACAAAACATGACTTAGTACTTGGTGGCAAATCCCTTGTTGACAATCACAGAGGTCAGATATTTCTTGTAATTGGCCACCAGGTTTGCATATCTCAGGAGGGATTTTGGCCCACTCCTCTTGGCAGATCCACTCCAAGTCATTTAAAGTT